GCGCATCGTTTTTGTTCGGAAAACTCGAGTTTTGAACAATTTTATTATGAAGCATCTCTCGGCCTTATTCTTGAAAGGTATCTTTTATATTTTCATCCAATATTCAATTTGATTTTTATCGTAAGTAGTTCAATTTTAAACCTTTATAGAGTAACTTGTCATGTCGCAGCTGACACATGTAACTTACGGTTTATTTGTTAAAAGCCTAGTGACTCGGAACATAGAGGCAAATAACATGTACATATTTTTTCCTAGGTTACCAAAGTGAGTCAATTTACATAATTACGTATGTAGAGATTTTTACTAATAAAATATCGCCAGAGAATTCACAATTGAAAAGATAAGTATATTTCTAACTTCTGCGCTGTATCGCAAATAAACAAACAAACGCGATCAAAAAGCGATATGGCGTTTGACTTCTCAGAATAAGCCCGTCAGCTCACACATGTCTGTTCGCACGCGACTTCACGTATTTCTAATTCTCTCTCAATGAAACGTTTCTATCATAAGTTGTGTCGTTACTTTTTCTCAATAACTTCAGGATATGTACTGCTTTGTGATAAATGTAATAAATAAATGTAGAGAGATCATTGTTAAGTAGAGATAAATTCATAACTTAACAACTAGACATTTAGTTGGCAGTGACTTCGATGTTGGAGAGAAAATGTCATCTTAACCTCAAAGCACTGCGCAAATATCATTTGATTAACGAAGGAAATGAACTAAACTTATTAAACAGATAAACAATATGTCAAAGCTGTTACATTTGACTAACAACATCTGAAGTCATAACAATTAATAAGTTAATATAAATATTTAATATTGAGACCCATATGCCGGTCGAGTGCCCTCCACGCGGAACACTTTGCCCTCCACACGCCCCGCGCACCCCCCGCAGCCCCCGCGCCGGTCACAACTAATAAACAGTTAACGAGTTCAATAAACATTGTGTTAACTGCGCTCCACTGAACCTATCATATATAAAACACGAGGGCTCAAAAAATCATAATTGTTTCAAAGATTAACATCGAGAGGGACTAGTGAGTAGACTTACCGTGTAGGTACAAATTGCGTCGTCTCTGGGAATGAGACTCCGTTTTGTTTTTTGAAGAATTGATTTTCATCACACATTACTGTGAATTCATATTGGTTTAGCTGTTTTTTCTTTAATAAGTAAGTAAGCATGTGTAATTGACCTTGTTGCAAAATCAAAGCCTATTATGCGTTTCATATTCGAGATAAGGAGTTTCAGAATGAAGTACTTACCGTGACAAAACTAATGTACTTTTTATTTAGAAAAAAATATTAAAGAACAATATTAGATGCTTAGTCTTTGGTTCGCCTCAGGCCGCGAGAAGTTTTCGCGGATTTGTTTCATTGTCTCCCCCTCCCCGCCGTCCCCCGGCGCAGGGCTGAGGGCTGAGGGCTGTGGGCTGCGGGCGGAGGGCGTGTACAAAGGGTCCCGCAATATGGTCCTCATGAGCGCCGTCGCCCCGCATCAGGCCCCGGCCTTGATTGATGCTTTACTCTTGTGACGGATGTTGAGGGCCCTAAGGTAATAGCTTAGGCATTGCTTTGTACTTTGTACTGATATTACGTTAATAATTACTATGTCATGTTTATTTGTTTTATTTTCTTCTATAAAGTCTTGGAATAAATAACTTAACAATTATAATCATACAAGTCTTCAAGCAGTTTTTCGGCAATATGAAAAAAAAAATAAGTGTAAAATGTGTTAACTTAACCAGACCACTTCCTAACATATTCAGCAACTATGTAGCATTTAGTTACCTTTAGACATTGCTTAGTGATTAGTTTAGTTGTGAAATAAACATGACCGTTTATAACATTTTTATTTTCAGCGGATTCGTTGACTAATTCTGTTGTTTGTGGAAACACGACAAGAGGCAATGACAGCGCTGAGTGTCTCAATGACACAAAAGAAGTCAATGGCGTTGCTTCTGACGCAAATTGGGCGTCGCGGCGCACGCTGACACCCGACGTGATTGGCTGTCACGTCACCCGAGCCGGTGTCTCGACGCTGTGTCACGTCGCGGCGTTTGTCACGCTGTGGAGTGGCGTGTAGCCTCGGGCGGGATTGCCTGCCGCTGACACGCTGATACGATGCCTTTATTGGACTTTTGTGTCTTTCACAATTTTGATTTCTGATGATTACAGTGGTGACATTTTACGTGATGTAGAGGAAACTACGAGTTCTTTTATAAATATGTGTTTTGACTTAATTACCGGTTAAGAAAACAAACAACATAGTATTGAACTTTTTACCATTTAATTTTTTCAACAATTATAAATAAATACCTACTTATAAAGAGGGAATCGTTTTTTTATAATTTTTTTCCATTATATTTCTGCAAAGCTTTTAATGGTTAACATCTTTTGAAGTCTACCCTCATTAGGCACAAATAATACACTTTAGAAAACTCCCACGTCACAACCGACAACACAATGCAATACTAAAATGTTTTTGTTCATTTGAAAGTCGAAAAGCCACCGTTGTTATAGCGATTTATTCTTATAGTTTAATTAGTGCGCGGGAAAAGCGCTCGGCGGCCATTGTGCCGGAAACAATATGGCGTCACTTGACGCGCGGCCGTTGCGCGCGCGCACCCGCCACGCCGCCGACTTCCGCTCCAGTCACCGCACATTTTGTGGTTTTTGGGACAAAACTTAATTTAACGATTTAACTAATTTAACTTATTATTATGTTAATTAAGGTTAAGTTCTGCCTTTGAAAAAATAATGATTTAATTAGGTTTACTATTTTTAACCTATCTCTTTAATATAGGTATATCATACATATTAACTACAAATTTCATTTGCAATGAAAACGCTATCAAGCTATTAATCTCGATAATATTTGACAACATACCATGTGCATTTATTATTATTTTTAAACCTTTATACTAGAATTGTTAAAGTATATGAGTTATGACAAACTTCCAGACACACTATAAACATTTCCGGTTCCTGAGGGCAAGCGTGGTGACCCTTGGGGTGACAATACCGGGGGATACAAAAGCGCAGTGCGACATGGCTCCGTATTATTTGGCTTCAAACAGCGGCGTGCTAACTGCCGTTGATATTGTGCTGCGTAGTCGCCGGCTCGGGTTACTGCTGCTGCAGTTTGATATGACAACGCTGCTCAAACTGTTGGAAACACCCGAGCTCCGTAATGCTCTCTTACCAAAATAATAAACATATCTAACTACTAACAACTAACCTAACTCAAGGTTATGGTATTGCCTTGAGAAGTGTCTTTGTGCATATTAAAGACAGTTTGAGAAATCACTAAATTACTGAGTATTGGTTTTAGAATTAATTACGATGTTATTGTGCGAAACAACTTAGGTTGAAATCCATGTTTTGATCTTAACTATAATAGTAAATAGCTTTGTGGACATGTAAATATTCTAAAATAAATGGAATTTAACTATTTTAAATTCAGAGTTAGTGAGATTTGAAGTTTACATTAAAATTGTCAGTACAAAGTTTGAGTATCGCTGCACTTATTGACGTTTGACATATCAGAGCAATAATTTGCCAACGACTGCCGCCCCCCCTGGTGCGCGGCGTGAACATGCATCGCTCTATAATGCTACCTATTAGGTTATACTAATAACTGACTATTATAGCTTTTATATTATAATAATAATCACCACAAGGAACGGAGTAAAGCAAAAGTTTGTCCTCGTCGTTGTTTTATACTAAAGTGTTTTACACTTTCTTATAGTTTTTAGACTGGATAGTTTTATTACTAGAAAACTTCGTTTGTCTTTATAGATGGTGTCAATTTTATTTTTAATCCAAACAAATATATAACATTCATGTCGCATAATGTTTAATATACATACTTACTTATGCTTTCTTTGGTTTGCATTTTTACATGAAATGGGAGTTCAGTATAAAATAAAAGATAGTATATATTTCGACATAATATATATCTGCATATAAAGTGAATATTGCATCAGGTACGTCTATGTACATACACTACACATCTACTGCCGACCTTACTACATATAGCGAGAAATAGAAATAACATTTATTTATATATTTTGTGAAAGAAAATTAAATTACAGGTAACTAGTAATCTTTGTAATTAGAATCTTTAGTAAATAGATTTTCTAAAATCAATATTCCATTCGTTATCAAATAAGTAAAAAGAAAAAAATACCAAATAAATCGAGATGAAAAAATTCACTGGATCAGACCCAACCCGAGACCGTTGTGCATCTGAATATTATGATGAAATCTTAATAATAAATATTGATATTCCTCTTGATTTTCCTCCTCTCGCTATGTGTAAGCAACATTTACCACCGCCTCTTATGTACATTACCTCTTATTTACATTACATAAACGCTACACATAACAATTCAAACTAACAGCTATAAATAAACCGCTCTATCGCGCACACTAACTCTACTACGAGTACAATTGATTTATTTATTTTGAATTAATATCTATATAAACAACATTCTAAACTATTAACATTCTCTCTCAGAACTATTTACAAAATTCTCGTAACATGAAATATCGATAAACACCTAATACAGTATTTAGAAAGCTTTGAAGTATAAAATCACTATCCCTTGTACTTTTTACTAATCTCTTACTTTTTGTAACAATAAAAGTATTTAAGCCTTTATTTTAGTCTGTATACAGCTAAAAGTCGCTTTCCTACGTCACAATAGCAGAGAGATTTAAATGATTTTACCACAAACATTAGTAGAGATGATGCGAACTTCGCGCTGTTACTCGTATATTAGTTTCATTTGTAATGTTCACTAACAGGTACAGGACGGTTCAACAAATTCCAAACACAAACTCATAATAAGGAATTATCTAAAAACTAGTCGTCGAATATATAATCTGCGTTACTCTGTTAACTTTCACTTTACAATAAATATATATTAATCAAATCCACAATCAATTCACTGGTCGCCGAAGCCGTTGTAGTACCCGGCGGGGGGTGGCGGCGGTCACAACAGCTTGGAAAAGAACCCGGCGGGCTGCAGCAGCGGCGGGTACCCGGCGCCCAGGAAGGGTCGGAAGGCCGCGCGGTCCTCCCGCCCCGCCTCACCCGCGCCCCCCGCGCCGCCCACCTCGCCGCGGGCCGGGCTGGCCGCCGCCTCCTGCGTGGACTCGTCCTGCGTGTCCAGCGAGGAGTCGTTGTGCGTGCCCGCCGCCCCCAGGTGCAGCTTGCGCGTGTGCTTCTTCAGGTCGAAGTTGCGGCAGAAGCCCTTGGCGCAGATGCTGCAGGTGAAGGGCTTGCGCTCGTTGTGCGTGTGCATGTGGAAGGTCAGGTTGTAGATCTGGTGGAAGGCCTTATTGCAGATGTTGCACTTGTACGCTTTCTCGCCGCTGTGCGTCAGCCGGTGGTTCTTGTAGTTGCCCTTCTGGTGGAAGCCCTTGCCGCAGAACTCGCAGACGAAGGGCTTGTAGCCGGCGTGGATGCGCGCGTGCGTATTGAGCGTAGAGGAGCGGTTGAAGGCCTTGCCGCACGTGAGGCACTTGTGCGGCTTCTCCGAGGTGTGGATGATCTTGTGCCGGCAGAGCGTGGAGGCCTGCCGGAAACCCTTGCCGCACACCTTGCAGACGAAGGGGCGCGCGCCGGTGTGCACGGGCATGTGCCGCGTCAGGTTGTAGTGTGCGTTGAACACTTTGCCGCAGTCGCCGCACGCGAAACTCTTGCTCTTGGCGGGCGAGGGCGAGGGCGCGGGACCCGTGGTGGAGGAGACCGCGTGATCGGGTGCGACGCGCGGGCTGGGCGGGCGGCGCGCGGGTGCGGGTGGCGGGCGAGGCAGCTGCAGCTGATGCGCGTACGTGAGCGACACGAGGTCGGGCCCGTAGTACAGCAGCGGGTAGTGCGCAGCGAGTTGGCGGCGAGCCGCGGGGATGTACTGCTTGAATGCGGAGTCTAGAAGCTGTGCACCGTACGAAAGGAAGTGGGGCGCGGGCGGAGGCTCCGGCGAGGCGCACTTCCTCCGATCGGGTTCCATGAGCCGCGCGATAGAGAAGTTAAGGACTGGTGCGGCGGGCGCGGCGGGAGCTGAAGGCGCGGGCGGCGCGGGCGTGTCGGGCGAGCAGGCGCGCTCGGGCGAAGATTCGCGCGGGCCGTCCGGCCGGCCGGCGCACGGGAACGGCTGCATAGCTGCTGCTCACCTGCGGAGAGGGAGTGTCTGTCAGTCGGGGAGTATTGTCATCGCGCGGTTTGCGCGACAAAGAGTAGTCGAGCGGTTGTTTTAACTAAATTGGTAGGGTGCGTGTGGCGGACCCTTGCCGCTGCGAGCTTTGTGGAGAAATCGTTTGCAAACATTCAGCATTCGCTTTGGTGTTGATGAATGGCGGGCGGAGGCGGAGGGCACCGCGCTCTCGCGTTAGTAATTAGTGGAGCGGGTTGCGGGGCTCGTGCGGGGGTATGGCGGGGGGTGGTAGGACACAATGCACACCAGAAACGTTTTTCAAATATTGCAATCGATGTCGATTGTTGAGAGCTCTTTTCTCGTGCGGTCGTACAATGTGCTTTTGTGACGTGCGCTTTACCACTTACGAATAATATTTTCAACGATGTTATTTACCGTAAACATAAAAAGAGTTTATGCTCGAGTACTTACATACCTACATAATTGGTAGGATTATACATATAATTTAGAGATGAAGGGTAGGATGAGCAGCGATGTACCTAACCTGTTTGATGTTGGGTATCACAACGCACTCGTGGCTTATACTCAGGCAAGGAACTCTTTCCGCTTAAGCCGCAAAACTAAACTTTTATTTATTTGTTCAATACGTGTGCAATTAAAAGCCGAAGGGCTGGTAACGGCTCTTGTAGAACAAAGCGGGCTGGGGTCTGAACGGTGACAATATGTTGAGCGGCCGCCGCGCCGGGTAATTGGTGTCGTAGTGCGTATTGTTCTCGTCATAGTGCCGGCCGCGGGGCTGCGCTTGCTCGTCGACCAGGGCCTCGGGCTGTGCGCTGACGTCATCAGACTTCGATTGTATAGGAGTTGTGAAGCGTATGATCATAACAAATCTAGTTATTTGGAATTGTGTGCAATTGGCGTATGTTTTTATGTTTAAATTGATCTCCATAACGTGGACAAATAATTTGTAGAGCACGTGCTTATCCTCAAGTAGAATCTTATGAAGAAAACAAGACGATAATCGTATCGCAGTAAATGTCTTTATAAAAAGATCCAAAAGCTAAGGTTAATTAGGTTTTATATGGTCATTTTTTATATATGAAGTATGGATTGGACGAAAATATTTTGTATTAATTATTAACTAACTTTCCGCGTCCACTGGCGTTACAAAGCCATTCAGAATATCGAAACAATAACGCCCTGCTCGTGCAACAAAATCTACCCTTGTTGTACCAAATCTTAAGGGAAGTTTATTAAATATTTCTTTGTATAAATAAAACAAAAAGGGAAACATAAGCGCGCGCGCAGCTGCCGCAGTCGAGATGTTGTCCCAACAATGCCTCTCCTCTCATACACAACACAACATACACTCTCATACATTCGTGGCCGGTTGCTGAGTCGCTCAGTCGCTGAGTCGCTGAGTGGCGATTGTTTAAATACCGTTCTTGTTTAAATTCAAACAGTTGACATCGAGTTGTTGTTAATTATAACAAATTGCTGTTTATATGTGCATTGACAACGTAATCACAACACATGTCAACTTTAATATTTTAACTATTTTGTATTCATACATAGCAAATAGTTTTCCCTCTATTACATAACAAGGTCACATAAAGGTCAGGGAATGTGTGGATATTTAATAGTTTTTGTATAGATATAACCTAAAATGCAAATACATACTCTAAAAATCTGCTCGCAGTAGCCCGGTGTTCTTTTTATATCTAACTAGTTGTCGCCCGCGATTACGTCCGCGTGTTATTTAAAACAAAAACTTACCCGCGGACGGAGTACTTAATTAGTAGTCTATGTGCCAAATTTCAGCGAGATCCGATGAGCCGATCTCGAGATATCTTCGAACAAACATCCATCCAACTAATATCCATCCAAACATTCGGATTTATAATATTAGTAAGTTACATGTGTGTGGATTTACAAACGATTATATGAACAATATATCTGAATAATTAAAATTGTCACAGATTGTAAGGAGTTATTAAGCCAGGAAACCCACTCAGTTTAGCCGTGTAATCATTGAGTGATGTCGTCAACTTTTCCATTAAATCATCAATATCAGCTGAAAGTGCACTCGTAGCGACATCCGCGATCTGATAATGTGCCGGCCGGCGGCGCGGCGGCGCGGCGGCGCGGCGGCGCGGCGGACCTGTCCTATCGTACATCTCTTAATATCGTAATAGCATGGAAGTGCCCTCATCTCCCGCCCCTCTACCCCCCCTTCCCATCCCCTCGCCTGTAACTTATCGCCTCAGCATCCCATCTAATCGACACCTAACTCCAGATATCAGCAGATTGGACACATTCTACCACTTACATACGATGACAAGCTAAAAACAATTCTTTACACACGGACAGAGAGTTCATTGTCAATTGGTTTGGTAAATTAATTTATATTATAAAAAAAGTCAGCGTTGTAGAATTTAGTGACATTAATGTTGTTTTTGTTAAAAACAAGAGTATCCTGAGTAATTTACAATATTTTATGCTTTATTTCTATAATTTAGAATAACTCTTTAATGTAAAATTATTTACGCTAACCAATAATTTTCAAATTCGTTTCTTTTCAATTTAACCATTGCTCAATTATGGACGCGAAATAAGAAAAATCATAATTTCTCAAAGTATAAAAGCGCGCCATTTCTAATGTAATGTCAAATTGACATCTGTCAAGACAAGACGTCATTAGTGTGCGCGACGTCCGACAGGCGTAATCCCCTGAGCGCTTAAACGCTTCCAGCCGACTCCCTCTAACACATGGTTATTTATATATCCGTCTCTTTTCCAATTCTATACACGAAATCTGCAAACAACCAATTACGTTTGATCTCGTATTTGCCATTATTTATGAGAAACTAGGGGTCCCAATGTTCTGGAAGGATTACTGCAAATAACTCGTTGGAACTAATTTAACTGGAACTTTGAATTTATATTTGTTGTTTGAGTTTTCGTGTTTGGGTTGGGCTCTTGATATTTTGGTGTTCGGAAATCGCTTATTACGAGGGTCAGGGGTGGTTTTGTGGTGTAAATTGTTTATTACGAGTGGTAAGTACGAGGTGGTGCGGATATGTTGACATTTCATTTGGATTTATGGATCGAGGTCCGGGAGTCGATTATTTTCTAATATCTATGTTTATGACATTTACATCGTTATGCGTCTCTTTGTCCTACGACCAGAAGTAATACGTCCGAATGAGATATAAAATAGGATTAATGATATTTCTGTTTTGCTGTGAATATAATCTGTACCTTATAAATACGTAACTAATGTAAGCGTACATTATTGAAACTGCTCTTATTGTATAATACATAACGTTAGATAAATATGTTCTGTGTAAACGCGTCCTTAGACATGACCGGTACTGACTGTGACTTTGCATAATATAAAGTACAATATTTATTATATTAATTAAATTATTTATAATTAAAAACACAGCGAATATAAAATCAGATGTTTTGTAGTGGCATATTGCTTGTTTTTTTTTTAATAAATCAATTTGAAACTCATCCGCGGAGGATTCAAAATTGAAAGTGTCATCATACATCAACGTAGCTGTCATGACGAGGAGATATCGGGGTTCGAATTAGCGCGATCCAGCGGACCACAATGCTGCCGTCTGGCCGCGGGGTAGCGGGGCAGTGGGGTGGCGGTAGCGGATTCGATGGCGGGACACTAACTACCCCTGACGTTAAGTACCGCCGCTGACAGGGGCCGGGGGGATGGAAGAATGTAATCGTTTGATTTTTTAAACAATGCCTGTTATTTGAATATTGCTTAATATTTATAGTTGACAAGTAATAAGTGGATTTTTAGTCTTTACCTACTTACAGATAATGAATGGATCGACTCTCTACTCTATAAAATAATAAATTTCAAAATGTTTGAAGATCATTTACCATATATTTCATCACCTATCATTATCATCTAACGGCCGAAATTATATCCTTCCTCATCCTTAAACTTGAGACCGATTCGACATTTATTTTAATTACTTTGCGTGAAACGGAATACAAAATTATTCTGTATTTTTCAATTGTTATTGCAATCATTTGATTTGTTAAATTTCGTTAAAGGTTTAAAATTATTAATCAGCCAAAACCGTGGATATTATTCGATCGCTTATTGATTTCGGACATAAATATAATTTCATCATCATCTAAAATATCAATTGCCAGTTGTATAAGAGCACAGATTATATTAATCGTCTTTTACCATGTGTCATGTCGCAGCAAATGTCATCAGAATATGACACGTGGAGAGGTCGCGTCCGCCGGAAGTGGAAGCTTCACGATCATTTTATTATCAAGAACAGATTATCCGATAGTTCGCGAACAATTACACAATTATACGTATTGTGCTAAGTTATTGAGAAATGGAGGTTTTTTTTTTAATTATGCGCATTATTTATTTCTCTTATTATATGATATTTAATTCTTAACAATACAATATCGCTTCTATCATATATAAAATTTAATTTGGCTTTAGGAACATATTCCAACACAGAACGTATGTTTTTGAGTAAAGCACAATACCATAAAAAATATCCTCAGTTAGTTAGTTAGTTAAAAGACAAGTATTTTATTGTTATTATCTTGTTATCTAAATACTGATAAATGTTTAAACTACTTTCTCGTAGTAAATTGACAGGGACATTAATCTATTGGATTAGTAGAAATGCAAACACCGCAATAGGGCCGACACATCCGCCGCGGCGGCGCGTGTCACTCAGTTACAAATATTTGTCCCTTGTAATTGGTCCCGGCTTCTCTTCCCGCGGGACAAACACTTAACTAGACTTAATCACGTCGTCACGCTGTGCGGAGACAATATAGAGGGCGGGGCACCAGGTTATATATGTATGTTTATCTATCATCTAGCTCATTATATTGATTCATAAGTGATTTAGATGTAATACTTATGTATTATGTAACAAGATGTTAATTCATGAGATAAGAAGCAATGTCCGGTAAATACGCAAAGTCCAAAATTTAAAACGATTTATTCAAACTCATGATATGAATATATTCATAATGATAATTACATGAGATAAAATCAAAGCACACGCCGCGCCGCTCTACGCCGCGTCCTGACGCCCTCACAACTGGGCGCTAACTAACACCTGAGGGTTGAGGGTTGATGTCATTATAAATTTAAATCCGTACAGTTTATATCCGACACCTTTGAACAGGAGATGTTTAAGAATTATAAAAACCTCTTCACACGTCGCATAATTGTGAAATCACGTGTCATTATACCAGATCACCCTTCACCCCTATCACACCTGACCTCCCGCACCCCCGCACCCTACGAGGGAGAGGAATTAGCCCTCCGGAGGGCGCTTGTTAGCGGCGGCGTGAGGTAATGGCTCAGGTCCGGGCGATTGAGCTGCAATACGCGTCCCACTCCCCGCATTGTGTCCGCGCAACGAATTAACCTTTCCAATGGAGACGATGTATTCATTTAATTACAAATATTTACTGCGAGGGATTTATTAATTTTCATAACAATTATTAAACTCAACGTACCTATTTGCTGATGAAGGGCTTGATGCACGTTCTTATTTAAATTGACTAGACGGGGAGGGAACGACGTATTCCAAAATGTAGGTGCTGCGTAAGAACCTAACGTAAAACATGTCTATTAGGTAACGGGGCACGCGTTTTGTAGGAAACTGTTGTCGGTTCTTGAGATAATCTCGACAATTATTATAATTACTTTCTATGAAAGGGAATAAAAAGAAATATTCGATGAATAAATCTTCCTATTGTTACTGCGATCTTATATCGGTTAAATTTGAACCAAATAGTTGGACTTGTTAATTAAAAATACCGCAGATAAGAAAGAATGGTTCGAGATTGAAAATTGATTTCGGGTTTTACTCAGGAAATAATGAATACATAACAGTAGCAATCTTTTTATCAGAAACTAGTTGTGTTAGCTTAAGTACGATGATTGGGAAACAAGTAAAGACTCGAGGAGAGGAGAAAAATAGTAGGGTCAGTTGAATCATGCGCCAGAACAATTTGTAAGAAAATGTTTTACTGATTGGCAATTTTAACTTGTAGTATTCACGGTATAAGTCTCATTTGACGTGTTGAAGGCAGGAGTCGAAAAACTATTTCAATCCCTATTTTGCTGTCGTTAATTTGTAAAAATTAACAAGAGTTTATTTGTATTTAGTCGGACGTCCGCCGCAACAAACAGCTTCCTGGCGGCATCTTTGTATCTGACCGTTATTGCGGTGTTTGCAAATATATCGGTTGTCCGTATGTCCGGAAGGATTACCTCTAATCTCATCGCAAGTGTTAAATGTAAAGGATTTAGTTGGTAATAGATCTTTGAGAATATTTACGTTTTGACGCGACTCTTTGTCGGCCGATATAATAGAAAAAAAATCTGTAGATAAAGGTTATTTTGGCATTCCATCTATATGTGTAGTTTTTTTATATGATAGGTAAAGGGGGAAACGAGCAGTAGGATCCTTAATAAAATGAGGTCTTCGATACCCATGGACAAATGCAACACTAAATGAAAAGCAGATGAGTTGTAGACCTTCAAGTGTTAGGTTAGGTATGCTCGTACGAAGGCCTCTAAGTTAGGTTAAAACAACGTCAAAACATGTATTTTTGTATTATTATAAGACGTGTTGTAAATGTGTTATACCCATAATAGTGTTGCTCCACATTGATTATATCTACAAATCAAGTTCTGACTTTGTAGGCAGGCTTTAATACCTATACTTTCAAAGTGCTTTGTAATAATTTCATAGTTCTACACACGTTTAAATTCCATTGGTATTTTAGCTGTTATATTCCGTATTGAGTCACAAATAAAAGCTTTTAATACATTTAAACATTATTAGTTAGAATCATTTGGCGCGAATAGCGCGCCTTCGTTACAAAGTCAAGTGTCAGATTGATTAATGAGGGGACATAAACGTTGATATTTTTATAAGGCTGATGATGCGCCAGTACACCGGCACAGTGTCGGATTTTCTTCCTAACAATAGATATCTAATAAATGTTAACTAGTTCCGGAACGCAAATTGAAGTTTGAGAGGTTGAAAAATTTCACGGCGGTTAATTTTGAAATAGTTTGCGTTACTTATGTATTACTTTTTCATTTTACGAGCAATGCCGATGATATTTTTTTATATCTACATATATTGTTGTTATTCCAGTTCCGTAATTCCGAGGCGATGAAGTTTTAGGACCTCTTAAAGATTCTCAAGAGATTCTTTAATCATTACATTGTATGTCATTCACTTTAACTGGAGACAGAGCAGGTCATCGCGGCGATCTTTGGGGGAGGCCTATGCCCAGCAGTGGGCTTCTCACTGAACATGAACAAGAGCAGGTATACCTACAATTATTATATCCATCAGTTGCTCGAGAATGTTGAGGACGACATGAGATAATTGTGTCACATTTAATTAGACACATTTGGAACTTTTGAACATTTTTGTATTGTCAGAACGGCACGATCTTGGGGATCGATGATTTTTGGTTTACAAAGACAATAAATTATAATTCTTAGATTGAAATGTAAGCTGTAATGTAACATGACACCAACCTGGTTCAGTCCACACTTGTCCAATTAAACACTTGTTTCCATGTCACTGGCCGCGGCCACCACTGTCCACCGTTCTGGTGTCGCCGTCTCTTGATGGTCTCCCTCCAGCCGCAGGTGTGCAGCAGTGTCACCAGCAAGTGAGCAATACGGTCATCGCACCCGGCGGCTCGGCAGAAGATGGCCGCAGCCGCACTGGTCGCTGCTCGAGTTGGCGCGACGGCGGAAAGGCGCGCGGCAAGTGGCGCCCCCGCCCCGCGCGCGCGCAACCCCCCCTCGCCGCCCCGGCCCGCCCTCGGCACTCGCAGCCCAAAGGGCGGTCGCCGCCTTCAATAATTCACCGGAGCCCCGCCCTGCGCCCCGCGCACCAAGGATGTGCATTTGCGCCGCCGCTCGCCCCCTCCCGCTCGCTCTCGCCACGGCCCTGTCTCCCTGTCCCGTTCGCACGAGCTCCGTCGGGCCAGCGGGCGGGTCCGTGCATAATGCAGGATGTTTGGCGACGGCTTGACGAGGTTTGCGCAGCGTGCACAGAGCACCTACCCCGCAGAGACTGCACACCATCACTTACTGAGACAATTTTATTACATCCAAAACTAATATTTGAACTAATATTAAGCTGTTCATCCTGTACTCTTTTTAAATTTTGGAACTATGTTGATAATTTTTATTTACTATTTTTGTTTAATTTTTTCTAAAAGACTTCGTCCTCGAATTATTATAAAAACCTGTTCTTCCAGACTATGTACTGCATCTATGATAAACTGCAGCGAGATTCAGCCTTTCTGAAGTTGTCTAATAAATATCCATCGATCCATCCATTCATCGTATTTGTTATATTAGTAAGAAATAAGATGTTTATCAGCTGTTCCTGCGATTTCGTTCATGGAATTTCTTCTTTTCAGCTAGTTTTTATTTATCCTTTAGAAAAGTTGTCTTTGCCCATGTTGTAGGTAGGTGACATTGTAATTGAATCAGTATCGATGTGCTTGTTGTTATTAATGCCGACATAGTCATCGTCATCATCATTGTCACATCGACACTTCTTTCGTTCATGTGACACTTCTTCTTCAATAAATAAATAAAAAGACACTGTCATGGTCATTGACATTGTCATGTAAGTATATCGACCGACATTACAATCTGTGAGCCTAAAACGAATATTTGTTACAATCCCCTTCGCTTCGCCAATTATGTCAACATTAGTATGAGATTTCTAGTGTATTTAACAACCGATAAGGCACAATTTTTAATACAATTTTTTTTTATTTCTACAATAGCGATTATCACAAATATTCGCGATTACAAAGTCGTTTGCCTATAGATGTTTTTCTTATTCTCATTGCCATCTATCGTTTAAATTAGACAATAGTAATGCCAAAGGTATATGGCGCTGTTAGTTGCTGTTTGTGTTGTAAACACTAGAGGGCGCTGCATCCAAATTGTTATCGACCTGCAGGAAAGTAACGGTCGGCGCAAGAAGCTTATGGCACTCCGGGGTCCGGGTCAGAATTAAATTGTGCTACCGAATGTTTTGTACCACTTGTAGGCCTGGCGATAGATGGCGGTTATTGTATATTGTTTGTTGGTAACAACTATTAGAAATAGATGGCGCTGAAGTCATTTTGCTTAGATTTAAACTTAAATGTTTTTATAGATTTGATGGGTGAATCTTTTGTCTAGCTTTAAAATTGTGCTCTTATTTATTGTATTATTATATAACTTGCACAGTTTTAGGATATATAATTCTAAATATAAGTGTAAACGTCAGATGTTTTGCTCTCATATAAATCGAATGTTGAAAAGTGAAGGATATTATAGAAATACCAAAATTGAATTTTGTGTCAAAGTAAAATTACAAGATTCTTTTAATCACTTTCTTTGAATAACATAACTAAGTTACAACTTTGAAGTGTTTGGTGTTAAAAATGAAACATCAATTAATATTTTAAACCAACTTTATTTTTAGCTAAAATATAATAATTCATACATCAAAGAAGATCCCTAATTATAAGGTAATACCGCAATAATACAATAAAAAAAAATTAATGGAAAAATCAATATAAAGTAAATATAAGAGAAATTCTTCCCACAACGATTAACAAGGTCAGAGGCCCGCCTCGCCCGGGGCGTGGCCGGGGGCGGGGGCGGGGAGCGGGGCGCGGAGCGCGGGGGCGGGGTCAGATCTCACCGACATAATAAGCGACGGGAAATGATCATTGGACGGTTGTCGAATGTTTAACATAACTATTCAATTAAAAACAAACAAAGTGCGACATCGTATTCCGCGTCGAGGCAACGCGCAGCTGCCGGCGACGATCGCTCGGTCGATATCCTTCGCTCGTTTTGCCTTGTCTTCTCACTGGTTCTTGACTCTGACAGCTATCAATGTCGCATCTCGTCTCGCTGAGCGTTACATAAGCGTCAGAGACGTCAAATTGAGCGACGTTTGAGCGATGTGCCGGCCACCGCGACAAACAGCTCGTAAAACAACACCGTGATTATGTCGACAAGGATCGCTTAGATAGTGTAAACTCGAGCGCCTTACAGTTACTCTACGCTAATATGGCAATAAGTCCATGATATGCAAGACGGAGAGCGCGGCCGCCGCCGACACAGGGGCGTCGCTGTAAGATGGAATAGCTGGAAGAAAAGACAGGACATTCGCAATGCCCTCCTCTCCCGTGCGGCGCGGCTGCTGCCCTCCGGCCAATGAAACACCCGACGTGAGGGAACAGTAAAACTTAACTAAGGAGCGGGCGTACGGGGGCCGCGCTCGTTGTGCGCGTGTGCGTCACCGAAACTAACACGTAGCTTACACCTAAACGTTAGTAAAAATTTTCTTAACGCATTCAAAATATATATATAATTATTATATAGTATCTATAGCTGATCCTAAAACGACATCGTTAATATAGTACTTGTATAATATACATCTATGTACGTTTTCAAATAACTCTGTGCCTAAAATACGTTTAAGCCGATTTTTTGTTTAAAAGCTCATAGAGGGTTAGAAGTGTTGGGGCGCGCCGGCGACACATTACAACTACCAGTGAAGACGTATTTTGTACAGGGTACGAATCTATTTGATCCGTCTTGTACTTTGTTAAATGCGGCCTCGGGACTTCGAGGCAGAGTGGGCGGGGCCTCGCCAGACGGGGGCGGGTCCAAGGGTTATGGGCGGGGGAGAGCGGGCGGCGGGCGGCGGGCGGCGCGCAGCCGGCGCAAGCGTCACTTAGTGTAGTAATATACAAAGAGCGATTGACCTCTTAACACTAAACCTTACATATCCGACTCCATACGAAATTACAACGACTACAGATTTTATTATAACATACATCGCTTCACTTACGTTAGAAAAAAAACGATAGAAAAGTGTCACAAGTTCTAGAAACAGACAAACAGACGGACGAGCCTCAGCAGCCGGACAAGCGAGCGAGGGAGAAATTATTCATTACGTATAAAGTTGATATGATCAATTTTGAGACCTTAGTTTTAGAGACTAACAAATCTTACATTAGAAAGTCTTGTGCCGCGAGAAAGTGCTGAAGCTTGAGAGTACGCTAGTTGGTACTCTATCGCGACGCAATAGAGTGCCTTTTGCACAACACCGCGGCGAGTCTGTACCCACAGAGACTAAAACATCAATTCCATTAACTGTTTGCGAGAACATTCGAGTGTGACGTCAGAGGGCCGTCTTATTTGAACAAATACATCGTTATTTAGTTAAATAGCAAAGGGGAGCGTACGGCGGAGGCGATTTGGGCGAGTTACGAGAGATAAGACGGCCGCGCAGATGGCGGGGAGGGGAGTGGCGGGATAAGTACATGCCGCTTGGGGCGGGGGCGGGGGCGGCGGCGTGGCCGGGGCGGGGCATTACATCGTGCTGTTGTCCCACTCCAGCTGGCTGATGTTGCGGTACTTATGCTGCTTGCCCGGCAGAGCTGCAACAGACACACATTCATACAGTTATACAAACTTGACGACTTAAAAATTCCATTTTCTTACATACAAATGTACGTACGTTCACCATCGTCGTCGTCATCGTCCTCGGAGTCGTTTCTGTCGCTGTCGGAGTCGGAGCAGGACTCGGCCGAGCTGTCGCCCGCGCGCCCGCACTCCTCGCCCGCAGCACCGACACTCTGCAATGTTCACAAACCAGTCGTAAATAATTCAGTTTTCGGATACCACAATTAAAAAATATTAATTAGACTTACATCATCCATGGGGTTGACGGTGATGGTGAGAGCGGAGTCGTCCCAGGCCATCTCGGCATCGGGGCGGGGCAGGGGGCGGGCTCGCGGGCCGGGGGCGGGACGGCGGGCGGCGCGGGCGCGGGCCACGCCCACCGCGATCAGCGCCACCACCGCGCCCGTCGCCACCGCACCCATTACTAGCGCCACGTGGTCTGGACGGACGACGAATACGTTATAGATTAATGGGTGATTTTCAATTGTTATGTGAGCAACGAGTATCAGTAACAAACGACACTAACTGGTTTGCGCGTGCTCGTGCTCGATGCGCAGGTCCAACAGGCGCGGCGCGGGCAGGTCGGCGGCGTGCGCGCTGCGCTGAGCATGCGCGGCGAACACGCGCGGCGCCGTCGCCAGGCCTTCCAGACCCTCGGCCGCGTGCGGAGCCTGATCATATAACACTCGTTACTGAAGAGCTCGAGTAGATTACTCATTGATGATTGCATTATTAGTCAGATGACATCACCTTGTCCCTGGCGACGGCATCCAGCTTGTCGGCCAATCCGCTGGGGCGCAGCGCGTGCGCCGCCTCGCCCGATGAGCTAGCGCGGGGATGCACCACAGTCAACTGAAAGTTAACGCAAAAAGGTTAATTTCAATGAGCATTCAGCGCAGGCAGCCCAGTGAGCGCAATGAGTGTAGTCAGGCAGTGAGCACTCACCGTCTGTATGTACTCGTTGCTGGTGAAGCGGCCGTTGAGCTCGGAGCAGGTGAGCTTGAAGACGCGGTTGAGGTAGTAGGCCGGCTTCTTGTTGCTGTACTCGATGGAGCGCAGCACCTGACACACGCACATAGCTAACGTTGTAGGTATGTATATTGTGTTTGCGAATGTTACGCTATGAAAAAAGGGACACGAGGCCGACCTTCTGGTAGTTGTGCACGGAGTCAGCGCCGCTGAGCGAGACGCCATCGCGGGAGAGCGCGGCGCGCACGTCGCTGGCGGGCAGCACGCCGCCGCGCAGCGCCAACGCCTCGTGGTCGGGGTTCAGCGCCGGGTACACCGACACCGTGCACGAATCCAGCTTCTGGCTCGCCGTCTCTGTGCGAAAAAAACCTACGGTCAGCGAGGGACGTGCACTAGTGGGCGGGGTGAGCGGCGCTGTGGGCGGGGCGTGCTCACCATGCAAAGTGCCATGGTCGCGCGCGACGACGCGCACGCTGAGGTCGGCGAAGACGCGCAGGCCGGCGCGGAAGTGCGCGTAATCTCGCGCCGCGTCACCGCTGCCGTTCAGCAGGATGCTGGGCGTCTGCGGCTGCAGCACCATCACGTACGACTCCGCGGGTCGCGCCTTTATGATGCGTCCGTTGTCACATCTGATATGCACGAGACGGCAGTCGATATAGTATTAATACGAAGATACAGTATTGCGAAAGTGGGCGGAGAGAGTGTGTCGGGCCGAGGGTCGGACACTCACGTGATTGTGGTGTCGAGGTGCACGTTGCGTCTCCCGGGCGTGGGGAAAGCGCGGGCGTCTCCATACGCCACGCGCCGCACCAGAGTCTCCACCTCGCCTGCACCGTCGCCTTCCACCGACACCGACTTCAGATCTGCACGAACAAAATACGTAATTGTAATCAATTACTTGGAACGAAGTCGAGAAGTGTTGCAATTCACATAATGTGTGAGATACCGACATATATCGGGTGCAAGGCTGAGTCCCTCCCGGCAGCGCGCGGCGCAGCGCAGCGCGGCGGCGGGCTGCTGGCCGCCAGGCAGCACGCCCAGCCCCGCCAGCCAGCCGCGCAGGTGATGCTTCATGTCGCCCTCCGTGCCTGCACATAACAATACAAATAAGAAGGAACTCCAAACATTGTTTGACTCGAAGAATCAATTTTAATAGTTTCCGCCAACCTTGCCAGCAAGCGCCGACGACGAGCGTGGTGTTGATGCCGTGCGCGGGGTGCAGCGGCCAGTCGTCGATGACCTCGGGCCCCTTGCCGTCGGTCGCGCGGTAGGGCTCGCCGTCCACGTACAGCTCCACCGTCGGGAAGCGAATGTTGATCGCGTAGTGATGCCACTCGTTGTCACACACCTACACGCATACACAGAGTCATAAGACATTGATAAATTATGTAATCTTTTACATACATGACTTTTGGGAAAACAAATACCTCCGGTATCTTCCACCGCCACTCCGCGGGGCGGAAGATGTTGAGGTCGCCCTCGCCGAAGTCTCGCCGTAGCAGCAAGATCAGGCGGCAGTTGCGCACGAACAGTGCGTAGTGGTGACGGTTCATCTCTGAAAATGTCACACAGTCAAAAATTACACGATGACGCAATTCTAGTATTTTCTTTGTGAACACTTTCGATAGTATGAATACTGACTGTGGTCGTCGGCGAGGCAGAGCACGTGCTCCTTGCGATGCTTGTCCTGGTCGGGGCGCGGTGCATGCCGCAGCCAGGTGGAGATGGCGAAGCTGCTGCCCAGCGAGTGGCCCAGTACGCTCTCCGGCACCACCGCCGATGTCGTCTCTCCGTCGAACTCGAACATCTCCTCGCCGTCGTGCCCTAGAAGATCGAGTGCTTTTAACAATATTGCTCCCGGTAATTTCATTAGTGAACGGTAGAAGTATCGGGTACCTGATTCTGGTTTCAAGGACTTTGCCCACTCGTTGCCCGCTCCGGGGCTCGGCAGTAGATCGATAGTTTTCGGATCCAGACCTGAAATCAACATATCAACTTGTGAAGACTAAAGAACTCTATTTTAAGTAGACCTTGTTTTATAATTTTTTTCACAAAATGTGCAGTTTTACTGACCGCATATGGTGCGCTGTGAGTGCAGCGAGTAGGTGTCGCGGTCGCAGGCGGCGCCGGCGCGCGAGGCTCGCAGTGAGACGAGCGCCTGGATGCGTGTAACGGCCGGGCACCGCTCGTCACTGGTGCACGCCTCCAGCCGCGCGCCCGGGAATAGCGCCAGCGGGCCAGACCCCGGCGCGTAGTCCACGCGCTCAGCAAGACCTTCCAAGTAAGGAAAACTTCTTCAAAGACCATCCAATACAGTGCTAATCGTGTTGACGAAACCCTGCCTCAAGACTATCATCGCAATACGCAGGTTTCGAAATCAAGATACTGAGTATTAGATTATTCAGATATTTGAGGACTGACCCTTCCAGCCGGCGCGGCAGGGCTTGTTGACTTTGATGGTGACCATGACGGGCGCGGACTGCATCATGCCGCAGTCGTATGCCACCACAGACAGGATGTGGTTGTGCGACTTCTCGTAGTCCAGCGGCTCCGTGTTGCGGATCACTCCTGATAACATTAATACAATAGACCTGGAGTTCTTTAAAATTGACAAACGTTAATAACGAAATGGCGGCCACGGACAGGTCGACGCAGCGTGGGCAGGCCTCCCGCAAGATGGACCGATGACCTGGTCCTTGACTTGCGGGAGCGTCCTGGATGCGGGTGGCACAAGATCGGTCATCATGGCGATCTTTGGGGGAGGCCTATGCCCAGCAGTGGGCGTCTCATGGCTGAGTAGATAGAATAACGAAATAGCTTTTAGGTGTGTTTGGATAAAATTAAACAAAAATACAGAGAAGTAAAAAGAAAAATACCTATATATTTATGCCACGTATACTCGAAACATTTATATTGTTTTATTTCTGTCTCTGAAAGACTGAAATTATTTCTTGCCATGACATTGAAGTTTGAGAAGTAGCATGAACACATCCTGATCCATTCCTTTTTTCCTTCTAATAATTTAAAAACTTTATTAATTTACCTTCGTTATCAATAGTGAAGGGCTGGTTGTTGTCGTCGAGGATCTCATACTTGCAGACATCGCCATAGTGCGGCGTGCAGTCTCTATCAGTGGCCTCCACACGAACCAGCTCCTCGTACATCTTGCCCTCATCCACGCTGCACACGTACGCCGCCTGGCTGAACACCGGCGCGAACTCGTTCACGTCCGACACCGTTATATGTACAGGAACCCTGAGGAAGAAGATACCACATACATTACACTTAGAGATTCTTTAACTGACAAAAACTAAAGTTATTAACAGTTAAGACATTAAAGGTTTCTGCGTCTAACTATAATAAATTAATAGAAAAAATTGAAGTCTGCTCAGTGAGTGTTAAATTGACCAGAGTAAATGAAGTCGTAAAGAAGCAATCTCTGATCTGAGGTCAGCTGTGTAGGCCGAATTACCAGAGTCATTTGTACTGGATCTAAGCTGGTATCTTCTCAATGATGTGCAGTTGTGTACTTACGTGTTAGAGTAGGAGCCGTCACAGCCGACTGCGGCGATATCAAACTTGTAGTTGCGTCGCTTTTCGCAGTTGAGCGGGTAGCGCACGCGCAGCCGCGCCTCGTTCTCGTCAATCACCATGATCTGAGGATACATACCAACCATTTATTATACATAGAGTTAAAGTGCTATGTTTTATTATATAAAGATGTAAGCAGACTTTTATCTAGCTGAACATTTTTGATGTTCATTTGTTTATATGCAATTCCATGCGTAATGTATTTATACAGCTATTATTTCTGGATCAGAAAGCACCGCATGAACATGTCTAGATGTCAAGAAGTTGACTTGACTGCCGGCAACGTAAAATGCTATTTTACGTTACAAAGCGTTGACTTTGTGTACACAAGTGATGCGAGCTGGTGCTACACTTTGTATCAACTCTTGCCTGTCGCTTGTCGCTTGTTTCGTAGCTATAAGCTCTTTCTATATTGCATCTATTACGTATAAGTCGTAACGTGCTAACGAGATAGGAAGGGATGTTTAATATTCAAGATTTCGTTTATAGGTTGGAGTCAATTTTCTACATAAATATTTCTTTATCAGACAAATATAACATTATAAAAACTTAGTTAAAACGTTCTAAAGTGTAAGCACTAATACGCCTGAATTTATTGAAGAAATTAATTATTTTTCTTTACTAATAAAATAGGACTTCTTTTATTAGTAAAGATATTTTTTTTGTTTGTTATTTAAAAAAAAAAACAAAAGAATATAATGTAGATATATAGATAGCACTTTTGAAAATATATGCGAAGATTATCGGCGGGTGATGTAGTACTGTAGAGCGCTTTTAGAGAGATTCAGCATTTAAAGCGCTTTATTACTTAATTCCAACGTTAAGTAACAAAGGGCGCGCAGTTCATGTTTTTCAATAATGTTTTTTCACTTCCCAAAGTGTTTCCATTACGGAAATTAGCCGTTGCGGGAGAGCGCCATGCCACGCCACGCCACGCCATGCCATGCCATGCCATGCCACGCCACGCCACGCCACGCCATGCCACGCCACGCCACGCCACGCCATGCCATGCCATGCCATGCCACGTTTTGTTATATGTTTGTTTATATCTGAATCTGATTTATAAAGTATCTAATTAATATTATACAATAAGTAACTTTGTAAAATTAATTTAAATATGAATTAATACCATTTATTATTGAACGCAAATTTACATGTTTTTTTTCTTCTATTGAAATAATATTTAGAATGTGGTTTGGTGAATTTCCAACCTTAAATATCTTTGCTTGTTTCTAGACAGTTGTGAGGCCGTTAACTTTTATTGAAAAAAGGAATTTTAAACTAAAGTCGGTCGTCATAAAAATAATCCGTGAAAGCGATATCCGGCCACGACGACCATTAGCTTTATTGCAGGGAGACTTCAGTTCGAGTTTTCGCTTCTCGCTATTCGTTGTTTTTTTTTATTTCTCTGCTAAAAATAATTTACAGAACATGAACGTCGACTCTCCAAATAAAATTTTAGACGATACTAGCTGTCGCCCGCGACTCCGTCCGCGCGGGATAAAAAATAGATGTTGGCCGATTCTTAGACCTACTCAATATGCTCACAAAATTTCATGAGATTCGGTCAAGCCGTTTCGGAGGAGTATGGGAACGAAAATTGTGACACGGGAATTTTATATATAAGATGTATTTTAGCTACATTCATAATTTCAGCCTACATCATTGGATTGGGAGATTGTACCAATAACAACAATGAAGAGAATTATAAACAAAAAGTTTGTCAACCCTATTTCAATTGTATGCAATGTACATTCCCGCGTCGCAACTCTACTTGTACGTACAAGTTGCGCAATACACCTTCCGGCAGTTGGAATGCAAACACAACCTGCTCTCCAGCTGAACTGATTCCCCTCTGCATATTCGTTTACAATTTATTCATTCAAGTGTATATGAGTGTTCATAGAGTTGTTTGTTTATTTAAACTTTGTAAAGGAAATTATGAAATTCCCTCACATAATCTAGATGAATCTTGTTCCTTTTTAAACTTCGGTAAATTAAATTACTTCAGAATAATAATACTTCTCTTTTCCTTATTACTTGGCGCTTTAGTATCTTATCGAGATGTTTAGCAAATGATTCGTAATTGTTGGAGTATGAAAGCCAAAGAGAAACTTTCAAATTCTATGGATTTGCTTTAGTTTAGCTTTACTAAACAAACTTTGAGCCCATCAATTGTTAGATTTTACGTCAAATTTTTTGGCAATTTTTTTGTCCGATTTTCCGTGTTTATCAGATTATTTGACAATTGACTTTGTTATTTTGGCTACAAGTATATGTATCGTGTGGTAAGGAATAATGCAACACTAACCTCGAAAGGCGCCTCCCCATGATGCTTGTTGTTAAGGATGAGGAAGGAGCAGAGCGGGCCGCGCGCACGTATGGCTGGCGTCACCTCCACCAACGTCTCGTTCTCACGGATCAGCCCATGGTAACCCTCCTCCGGCTCCGCCAGCTCCAGGTACGGGACGTCTGCAACACATAAACAACTCTTATACAATTTGCTACACTTCATAAACATGTTAAGGTTTAAAACAACTTGTAATCCCGAAATAAATAAAAGATTAAAATGTATGTTATCCTTGACATGTCACTATGTATTCATACACTTATAAAAAACATTTCAATCATGTCACAACATGTCATTGTTTGAAAAACCGAAAAATCTCGCAGACAAACAAACATTTACTTATTCTCATATCATGTAATAGTAGAAACATCCAAAATATTAATATTATGTAGCTCAAAATATCCCTAGTGACGTCACTCTATCGTTACAGGATTTCTCTTAGAATAATTACTATTTAAGTTTAAGTGAGTAATGTAACGTAGAACGTTAAGTGTTGAGGGAATACCAGGAAGCACTTGAAGTGACGTTATTAATATTTGATGTAACACTTTATGAATTATCGGTCGACATGATACAAATAGAGCAGCTAATTGGCGAAATAATAATGGAAATACAGATATTTTTAGAGTAACTTTTACGTTTTTATACAGCGTTTTATTTCAAGAAAAAGCAATTAAAACGTTCCCTTGTCAAAGCGATAGTAATCACAAATCATTGTCTCGTATACAATTGACATCTGCAGGAGTAAAAGGCGACGAGTAACTTGAGCGCTCAATAGTCCTGCGGGGACAATCACTTTGGTCCCGTACTCAGTAACACGTTACGTATGTCGCTTTAGTTTTGTTAATTATTTAACTTGTTATTCTTTTATCATTGTCTTTATATCTGACTTGATTTTGCTGTAGGATGAAGAAATAAAAACTTTTTTCTAGCTAAACGCATATTTGACAAAATTTCGTATGATTATAGTTGAAATCAACAAAAAAGCATTTAAGCGACTGGAAGTAGTTTGGAGATTTTGATATAACAATCTGTTAGTAATAGTCAGACATAAAATAAGGCAAAGCATGCGGTTGTCAGTTATTGCATTGCATTGCAGTGCGCTGCTGCGTCGAGTGCAAGATATGCAAATGTTGGTGCGCCGAGAGATACGCGCTGACGTTTATTTAGAGTTCAATTTACATGATAATAGCTCGCAGCTCGCAGCGAGACATACAGATGTATGTCGCGGCGCGCTGCAGACAACGAATTCAACAGTTTCATTGTTTCCATCTAAGTGGATAAATGTTATTTATTTACAGCAATTGTTATTAAAACCTTTTGTGATTATAACAACACTTACATTAATACTCATACGTATCTATCTGACGCTTGGAATTTGTCTTTGTTGGGCTTAATAACATAACAATCCAGTTGTCGTTATAAACGATCTTGTATTCCGCGTAATTTATCGATTTTTGTTTCTTGAATTGTTTTTAGTTTATAAAAATATCTTTTAATATTATTCGAATGCTTAAGAACATATGAAACTACATCAGAACCATCTAAGTTATGAGTACCGGCATAAGGAGGAGCATTAGGCCGCCATTACGTGGCGCTCGCCGCCATCTTGATGTGGGATTATACTCGGCTCGATTTAACGGTTTATTGCGTGCGGCTGCGTTGTAACGCGTACATTTTGCTCTCTAATGGCTAAGGATGTGAGTTAGAATTAGCGTTATATTCCTTCGTTATTAGTTATTTATGAGATTCAATGGAATTGAGATATAACGTAAATTGGAAAGAATAAAAAAAGCAAAAAGCAAGGACTCTGGCTTGGATTTTGCTTTTTCTGATATAAAGTTTTACTTTAAAGATATTTATCAATGAAATTACGTAATAAAAATGATCTAACAAACTTAATTTGATTCCTGTTCTGATGTCAGAACAAAAACCGAAGTGTAGAACGCCGTGAGAGAAAAATTAGGCTAAGAGACAAGCAACGTCGGTTGAAGTTGATTGCTCGCTCCACTCCGCCAACTCATAAAAAATGAAGGCTTTCACGTAATGGATGGAAAGCTTTGGGACGGAACGAGGAGCGAGGGTTGCTATTTGTACACTTTGACAGAAAAATCTGAAAAAAAACTCAAATTGCAATGTAACTCCACATTAACTAGTCTAGTTTATCGAAAAAAAAGCATTAAAATAATTTACAAAATACTAAAGTAAACATTATTATTATTTGTTGGAATACACGAACAAAAACCATTTGTTAATCGTAAGAGCATAAATGTGCAACATTATTTTGTTCCTTTCAAGTTCGTCGTTTCCAACATTGAAAATACCTAAACAAAGAGAGTTTAGAGTCGCTCGTTATGAGCACAAAGTATCATTGCCGGCGGAGGCTGCGGTCCAGCTATCAGTTGCAAACAGCCGGCTCGTTAGCCTGCGCCCGGACCTTTCACATTGTTAATGCTGCTTGAACATAACGCTTCGATTGATCTTACTTTGCAGAATTTTTATTTGTACCAAGTTACAGTTCTTTGTGTTAGCACAATTGACTTGAATAATGAATTGAATTGGAAGGAATCGAAATGCTAAAACTATTAAATACAATATATAGTAAACAATAATTCAAATGAGATTTTAAGCACTAAGCAGAGATGGATTAGGGAACAACAGCTATAATATGAGTTTGATTAAAGCGTGCACGTAATTGTAGTTTAGAGCTCGCTACATGTTAATCACAAAGACGAGGTTAGCTCGTAATTTTGAAACTACTTTAGCTAAGCGTTCAGTTCAGTAAATTTGAAATAAGGTCACAATGTAGTACTCAAACTACAATTATAAAATATTAAATACAATATTATTTACTTGTTTAGATAGAAGTATTTTACACTCAAGAGAACGTATCCTTTATAAAAAACATATATTCATATAATTATCATATTATTTTCCTTCTTTAATATGGAATAAGTACTCTGCTATCCAACTTTGTAATTCAAGGAACGTTTTCTCGTTACAAAACTTGAGCATTACTTATAAACTATTTAAATCAGCAAAGAACCTCTTCCCGCAATACTAAGAAAGTCCCTCGGCGCGCCTCGGATCCTGGTATTCCAAGAGTATGCTTCCGGGACATAATCAAAAAGATACCTTGAACGTAATCCTTTCAGTTATTTTAAAGGAAAATATTGCAAAAAGGAAGAGTTCTACTTAAAGTTGAAGCTTACTTACAACATGAATCTCTTAGAAAAAGACGATATCCGATGACGCAACTATTCAGTAATTTTTCTAAACAAAACACATTTGCAATACGCAAAGAACTACATATTCATAGAAGTGTGGTGCTGCACACACTTCTATGCATCACATATGTATTGCTACCTAAATATACTAAAACTGTGTGCATTTACGTACGAGTATATTCATGGTCATTAGTGTCCAATGTATTGTACGTATATACTGACCACTTCTTGACGCTGATTCACATGCGTTTACACCATTTTAATTGGAGTTTAACGCGCATTACCGCCTTGCTGACGAGCGCTTCCTAATTGGAACTTGGATGCAAGTGTGTTTTCATTTAACTCAGCGTTCATTCACATTTGCGATAAAAAGACCAGTGAAGAATTTTGATGACGTATTCAAAATTTGCTATTTTAATTTTGGTTTTAACCTAAATCTGTTAACAAGCAATTTGTTAAATAATTAAAATTGATTACGATGTACGTAAAATAAAAGTAAATGATACAAGTCGTGGTGTAGCAGAAAATTTGTTTGAAACAAATCGAATGAGCATAGAAGTTGAAGATGTGCTTCTGAGAACTGAGAAATATCATTAAAAGTTTGTTCTGAACATTCGACGAGTCAATAACAAATTGGAATGGTCTCCGCAGAACTCGAGCAAAAGAGGATACGTACGTTACGTTTTATATATTTTGAAGTAATCGAAATGGCAGAGATATGAGATTCTTTGATTTGAGTTTGACTATTTAGAGATAAATCATTGGTTAATCCAATTTAATAACAAAATATGACGAGAGATATAATTATTTAATCATTAATAAGGACATTAATTAATAGACTTTAAATTAAACTAATATAAAATTCAAATTGATATTATTACTTAGTTTTATTGCAACTTTGTAATTCTCAGGATTTCTACATGAAATACTTCTAGAAAATGTGTACTAGAAAATAAATAGAACTGTGCTGTATGGAGTACAAAGAAAAGGCGGATTTATTGAGACATCTGTTCCTCGTGTCTTGTGTTGGGGGAGAAATAGACTCGTGTCTCTTGTACATTGAAACAATCGTATTTTAGACGAAACATTCCGAAACAAGTCGATATTGTGTTCACATCAGTTTCTTGTTTTGTAATAAACAAATAACGTCATTTATGACCAAATTATCTGAGTTATTTCATTTCAAGTATTATATATATATTTCAAATTAACAAAATATTTTCAAAACCGGTGTTATTTATGTCTGGCAACATTTAAAAGCATGAAAAAGCGTTGTTTGTGTCGACATAAAAGTTTTCTAACAATTCGGCTTCACGTAATATTTCAAAGCAAACTACTCTCCGTTTAAATATTCAAACGGGACTCGGTCTGTACATCATGCAAGAGGAGAGTGGGGAGGATTCGTACATGTCCGTGGAGGTTCCCCGGCGAGCCGCGTCCACCGCCACTAAAACTCAAAAGTCCCATATTTAACGTGAAAGTCACTTTGACACAGCTCACGACTCTATCGCTGTAACCTTCTCTGACTGTAATCTAGGTGACTTCACTTGCGGTCGCTTGCTTCTCGAAATTTCCCGAGCAATTGCAGATTTACCGGAGCTTTCCAGATTGTTCCACGAAAAAGAAAATACTTCCCTATTTTATTTTACGTCTCAAATTCGTGTGTAAAGTAGGTGGCCCAAATTAAAAAAATCTAGTTCGTGTTCTATATTTTACAACTTTTAGAATAAAAATTTCGTGAAAATTACAAATACGCACATGTTAAAAATTTTAATATGTAGAGATTAAAAAAACTAAAGTGTGTTCATATGTTAAACGGATTTTTGTTGTAAAGTACACAATTTCATAGTTAAAAATGTAAAAAATAACAGTAATTCACCGTATGCCAAGATGTC